GAGGGCGGGGCCGCCAGCGGGGGCCCCCTTGAAACCGACTAATTGGGATCGGAGAGGCCGAGGTGAGGGCTGAAGGAGGCACAAAGGAGTCGCTGGGTAGAGGAGGGTGGGAGAGGGGAAGCCCAGAGGGTAGAGAAGGAAGAGGAGCTAGGGCAGCGGTGCGCGGCGTCTCCGACCACTCAGTCCGACCGCGGCGAGCCAGCAGGCGGGTGCGCCGCCCCCTCCCCCGCCCGGTCTCCCAACTCTGCGGCGGCGAGCAAAGTTTGCAAGGAGGCGCGTGAGGCGGCCGGGCAGCTAGGCGGCAGCGGGGAAGGCGCGCGGTCTCTTGGTTGGGGGCGGGGGCTGGGGGGCGCCCAGGAGCCGAGTGGGGGGCGGCGGCCAGCATGCGGGCCCGCAGCGCCCTGCCCCGCAGCGCCCTGCCCCGCCTGCTGCTGCCCCTGCTGCTGCTGCCGGCCGCCGGGCCGGCCCAGTTCCACGGGGAGAAGGGCATCTCCATCCCGGACCACGGCTTCTGCCAGCCCATCTCCATCCCGCTGTGCACGGACATCGCCTACAACCAGACCATCATGCCCAACCTTCTTGGCCACACGAACCAGGAGGACGCGGGCCTGGAGGTGCATCAGTTCTACCCGCTGGTGAAGGTGCAGTGCTCGCCCGAGCTGCGCTTCTTCCTGTGCTCCATGTACGCTCCGGTGTGCACGGTGCTGGAGCAGGCCATCCCGCCGTGCCGCTCCATCTGCGAGCGCGCGCGCCAAGGCTGCGAGGCGCTCATGAACAAGTTCGGCTTCCAGTGGCCCGAGCGCCTCCGCTGCGAGCATTTCCCGCGTCACGGCGCGGAGCAGATCTGCGTGGGCCAGAACCACTCCGAGGACGGAGCTCCTGCGCTACTCACCACCGCGCCACCTTCTGGGCTGCAGCCCGGCGCGGGTGGCACCCCGGGCGGCCCTGGCGGTGGTGGCGCGCCCCCGCGCTACGCCACTCTGGAGCACCCTTTCCACTGTCCCCGCGTCCTCAAGGTGCCATCCTATCTCAGCTATAAGTTTCTGGGTGAGCGCGATTGTGCCGCGCCCTGCGAGCCCGCTCGGCCCGACGGCTCCATGTTCTTCTCGCAGGAGGAGACGCGTTTTGCCCGTCTCTGGATCCTCACATGGTCGGTGCTGTGCTGCGCTTCCACCTTCTTCACGGTCACCACCTATTTAGTGGACATGCAGCGATTCCGCTACCCAGAACGGCCCATCATCTTTCTGTCCGGCTGCTACACCATGGTGTCAGTGGCCTACATTGCGGGCTTCGTGCTCCAGGAGCGCGTGGTGTGCAACGAGCGCTTCTCCGAGGACGGTTATCGCACGGTGGTGCAGGGCACTAAGAAAGAAGGCTGTACTATCCTCTTCATGATGCTCTACTTCTTCAGCATGGCCAGCTCCATCTGGTGGGTGATTCTGTCCCTCACCTGGTTCCTGGCAGCCGGTATGAAGTGGGGCCACGAGGCCATCGAGGCCAATTCGCAGTACTTCCACCTGGCCGCCTGGGCCGTGCCGGCCGTCAAAACCATCACCATCCTGGCCATGGGCCAGATCGACGGCGACCTGCTGAGCGGCGTGTGCTTCGTGGGCCTCAACAGCCTGGACCCGCTGCGGGGCTTCGTGCTGGCGCCGCTCTTCGTGTACCTGTTCATCGGCACATCCTTCCTGCTGGCCGGCTTCGTGTCACTCTTCCGCATCCGCACCATCATGAAGCACGACGGCACCAAGACGGAGAAGCTGGAGAGGCTCATGGTACGCATCGGTGTCTTCTCGGTGCTCTACACCGTACCGGCCACCATCGTCATCGCCTGCTACTTCTATGAGCAGGCCTTCCGCGAGCACTGGGAGCGCTCGTGGGTAAGCCAGCACTGCAAGAGCCTAGCCATCCCCTGCCCGGCCCACTACACGCCCCGCATGTCGCCCGACTTCACAGTCTACATGATCAAATACCTCATGACGCTCATCGTGGGCATCACCTCGGGCTTCTGGATCTGGTCCGGCAAGACGCTGCACTCGTGGAGGAAGTTCTACACGCGTCTCACCAACAGCCGGCATGGCGAGACCACCGTGTGAAGCGATCTCGCCCGCCGGGCGCCCCCCTCTCCCAGGTCCGGACTGCACCCTGCCCTCCTTCACTCGGGAGGGGGGTGCACCCTACGGACTCCTCTATTTTATTTTTTTAAATAAAGAACAGTAAAAACCATTTTATTTTAGGTCGCTTTTTAAAAAGAACTCTGCCCAACACCCCCCCCCCAGGTTTGTAATTAAAACTGTAAATAGTCTTTGTAAATTTAATTATATATTTTCTATTTAAAAGAAAAAAGAAAAAAAAAAGATCAACGAGGGCGCCAGGGCTGAAGAATGGGGTAGGGGTGGGGGAGGAGGTCTCGCCTTTTCTAAGTGCCCTTTTAAAAGCCGCCCTGTGCTCTGGTTCGAATTTTTTTGGTGATTTGGCAGGGCTGGGCCTGCTGGGAGAGGCACCTAGCCTGCTCGCTATTTTTGTTGGCTTAAAGGAGTTAGGAGTTAGTTCCACTCAGCTTCTATAAAAGCCAAATTTGCAAGCCTCCTCACCGACGTGGGGCCTGTGGAAGCTGTTGGATATTTTTTAACAAGACTTGGATTCGTTTTTGTTTTATTTCCCGTTCTCCTGCTCCATACCCCCACTCCCACCCCCGTTCTCCCTCCTCATTTGTTCTGTCTCCCCCGCTCGGTATCTGGAAACCTCCCAATCCAGATGCAGACGTGGAAATAACATAACCGCTTTTAGGGAGAGGGCGGAGATGTGGGGAGGAATGGCCTCCACCCCCCAGCCCACTCCCCGTGGGCTCGGAGATCCTTCTGTGGTCTCAGCTCTGGCCCACGCGCAGAGAACGGGCAGCAAAACGCTTTGTGAAGTGTTTTGACATGCCCCCAGTGCACACACCGTTTTAAGAACGACCCTCTTTTCCCTGGGATCTTTGGCGCTTCCGTTCCCTTCTCTCCTGGTAGTCTGCTGTTCCGAGGTGGAATCCAGGTTAGCTGTTTGTAGGGTTGGGTTGTGTGTTATGTGTGGGGTTTTTGTTTGGGTTGTTTTTCTTTTCCAAAAGCAGTAAAAATAGGTTGGGTTCGAGGGAGGGAAATGGATGGGCTGGTGGGACTTTTAGTTTTCTTTTGACAAAAGACTGGCCTTAAACAAACAAACAAACAAAAATAAAAAGTTGTTCACGAAAACAACAAAGCCTAATGGGTAAGTTTGCTTTAGAAGGCCTCTCTGGGCAGGCGCTTTGTGGCGGTGGGGGTGGGGCTGAGTGTTTACATGGCATTCTATATCATAAGATAGTGATAAGAATATTTCTAACGTGTTTCTTCCCCCTGCACACAAGTAAAAGTAAGGATTTTTGCGTAAGTCAGCGGCCCGAGAAATGTTCTATAAAGTATCGTTGTTGGCATGAGAATTCCCGTTCCAGCAGCAGGCCTCGGTTCCCTCAACTATGGAGTACTTTACAGTTTGTATGCTAGAGAAGTGATGTGAAGACCGGTGTGCTGCGAGAGCTCTGTCCTCAAGCGTCTCTCCTGATTCTTGATAATAAATAGTGCAAATTAAAACCCAATAATCATCCTAATAAAGTGCATTTAATTATCTTCAGATCCAGCCCTTTAATTGTGTTTAACAGGGTTGTAACACCATCCGCCCTTAACCAAGCCACACCTCCCTCCCCTCCCCCTTCACCTACTCGGTTGGGGGTTGGGTGGAGTGGGCTCCTTGCCCAAGGCCTCGATTGTTTGACTAAAGAGTTAAGGAAAAATTGATTTCTTATCATCTTTTGTTGGCTGACTTGGGGACAAGGGAGAAAGTAAGTTGGAACCCCTACTTCCAAGTGTTTGTGTGTGTTAGTTTACGTTGGGGGAAGGGAAGTGGAAATGTTTGGTGGTAATTGAAGTCATATGTGAGGCTTTGCTTTGCTATTGTATTGAAGCCTGGGTGTTTCAGCAGAACCCCCCCCTTCCCAAAATATATAATCTCTCTCCGAATTATTTGTGCCAAGTTCACTAAGCCTCAATATAAATGTGCCTTAACTATGGAAGTGGTGGTGGGGACAAGAGACAGTGTCACCACCACAGGGCCCAGAAGAACCCCAAAAGGCTTTAGGAAAGGGTTAAATTCCACACAAATTATCAGTGCCTCTCCTGGCGATAAAGGTGAAACCCCAGGAATCAACTGGGGTTTGCAGTGTCTGGGATCAAGTGCAATAGGAAAAACGAATGATGGTTTCTGCTGAAGATTTGGGGAGAACCTCCCCACCCCTAAGGTTGCCAGGGTCTTGGCTCTGTGTGCTTCTTTGGCATCCGCTTCTGTACCCTCACAGGAATGGCTCAGAAAGAGGTGAAACGGTGACAATTGCCTTTTCTAACCAGTTCCCTCCCTCCCCCCACCTCAAGGTCTCCTGTCAACATAGGGGTACAGAGCCTGCAACAACAGACAAAGTGGCTTCATGACAGGGGCGGCAGAGGGGGGAGATAAATTAGCCTCTTGGAGAGCCATTGATCCTAAAGATGCAGCCCTCCCAAGAGGTGACTCAGGACCTGAGGTACTTGAGAGAAAGAAAGCAGGGGATGTAAGGGGAGCCCTCCTACACCCCACTCCCACTTTAATGAATTGGCTCTGAGAGGAAGGGGAGCTTTAGACCACAGTGTGAGGGAACTGTGGGCTGGAAAAGGCCTTAGAAGGAACGCCAAGGATAGGCTGAACCCGGAATCAGTGTGTCCATTGAGTGGAAAACTGGATTAAAATTTGTGGGCTTGGAGGTCCACCTTTGCAGGCCGGAAGCAACTTCCCATCTTATAAATGCGTTTACCCTTCCCTCTGCAGAAAGGCCTTGTGTTTGATGGGGGGGGGGGGGGGGCAAGAAAAGGAAAACTTGGTAGGTCACAGGTCACACAGGTGGTTTTTCTCTGTTCTCCCAGGTCCTAGAGCCAGCCACATGGTGGCTTCCCCCT